CCCTAAACAGAGTAGCTAAGAGTACGGAGTCTGAGTTTTGGGTACGACCGGGCTTTTCGGAGTTTGCGGTTTTGCGGCTTCGTGGTTTCAGGAGTCTGCTATTGGGACCAGTAGCTCGGGCTCGAGGCTCAGACTTTGGTTTGGGGTTTAGGGCTTAGCGTTTGGAGCCTGGCTTTGGGGTAAATCACGCCGACGCCCAGGTTGGGATGCCCATAAGGGCACTATAAAGGTTACTATAAGGTCCTAAACCCTAGACCCTAAACCCTAAAGAAGGGGTACCATACTTCGGAGATCCCTGCACTTCACGGCCTGGCCATGCTTGTCTTGCTTCAGCCCGAAGCTCTTTGACACAGTGTTTTCTTGTCGGGTCGGGACGACCCTGTCCATACCACGTTTGCTGAACCCTACTCACAAGATCTGGCTAATCAAACAAAAACCCCAAACCCTAAACCTTTTCCATACTTACCCATGAACCCCTCAGCAGGTCCTATCGTGTCACGATCAGCCTCCGGTAGCGCAGGCAGGGGAGCCAAAGCACGATGTATCGAGGTCAGCACACTCCGGCTCTGCGATACTCCGGCCTCTGTGCAGAGTTTCGGGCTTAGGTTTCCAAAAATTTTGGGATTTGAGTTTAGGGCATAGATAGGAGCAGGCTTAAGGGCTGCAAAACTGGCGCCCGGTTCCACACTCAATTGCACAGAAACCACCGCATATGCATAACCACCATCACCATGATAATTCATCACCGCAGTCATCACAGCAACAAGCGCAATTGTTGTCATGCTGTTGAGTACTAGTTACTTGCAGTTAGTAGCCCTGTCAGCATGGTCATTGTTCGACCTCGTGACGACTGCTGGCAGCACCATGCCGTCACGGGCTCAAGGGACTTAGCAAGCAGGGTGATGATTGGATTTACAAGCGCCCTAAGCCCCAAGTAGGGTTATCCTAATTACAACCTTACTTACTGATAACATTCCTGACTCTCGGAAGCCTATCCATGTGGTTAAGGCCCCTACACCCTTAAGGGTTTAGGGTTTAGGGTCTGGGGTTTAGGGTTTCGGTTTCAATCTCACCAAGAGACTTGTGTAAAGCTTCTGAGCTAATCCCAATCGCTCACAAGCCGTACTAACAGTTACTAACCCGAGCCTTGACTCGAAACCCAAACCAAACCCTACACTCTGAAGAATCCACCACGAAAATTCTAAACTGCCACCCCAGACCAGGATCCGAAACTCCAGAACACCAAATCCTCACGCTCCGCGGCCCCAAACCCTGCGAAGCCCCGCGAGAAACCCTTAAGCCCTAACCCCGAAGGGCCCCGTACGGGTTCGGCGGGAGGGTTGTCGTTAGGTGGCCCTGGGCTCGTTGAGTTCGTCAGGGATTTAGCCCTGGGCTCGTTGAGTTCGTCAGGGATTTAGGAGGGGTGCAAGTACATCCGTGCGCACAGCCCTTGTTGGCATTTGACGATTGCTTGACGGGCCTGCTCTGGGTGTTGCAAGATTTGGTTGTCCACGTCTCAGTCATGGAAGCAGACACAGTCACACAGTGTCAGCGGTGGAAACATATCTTTTTTTGTGGCGGATTGTGCCAGCCAACACAGCAAAGATGGATCCTGCGACACTGCCTCTGCGTTATCAGAACAGCATTCCGTCTTCGTGGGTTCATGAGTCCGAGTATCCAGCTCTCAAAAACCTTGTCGGTCTGCACTGGTGGGGGAACAGGTAACAGTATTTTGTGACGGCGTTGATGTAATTTGCTGGAATCAATGAGGTAATTAGCTACTTCGTTAAGGATCTCCTGCGTTCTTCTCGCATGGGACGTGCGATGACATCTTGCATAAACCCCAAATCCCAAAAACTTGGCCATGAAGCCGATATATCCCATGTCAACGTCACATACACTTCAAACACCTTATTAGGCCCAAACGACTAAACCCCAAACCCTATCCGCCGAACCCTGATCCCTCGCAGCCCAAAGCCTCCAAAACTCTTAAACCTGTCAAACTCTACACCCTAAGACTTCCAAGTGCTTCTAACCCGTAAGCTGCCTCCAGCACCACCTCGCGGCGTTCCCTCAGGGCTGCCGCAAGGGGGAGCAGCGCGCAAGCCAAAGAGAGCCGGAGCATGGCTGTCAGTGTTACTGGTAGGGCTCTAAACGGGAATTTTGGGAAGGGTCCAGATTGGAAAGCAACTTATATTGGAGACCAGAAGGTGTGTGCTTGTGACTGTGGATCAACCGTCTAGGTTTTTGAAAAAAAACCATAGGTTTTTTTTAACAACCTAAAAACCTATGGTTCTAAAAACCCATGGTTTATTAAAAAAACCTATTCAGCATCCACATGACAAGCGGGGGGGTTTCGGGCTCGAGGTTGCCGCGGCCATCTCCACCTCAGAGATCCTTAGCCCAAAGCCCTAAAGCCCTAAAAAGCCTAATCCCTACAAGCAGTATAATCCCTAAACCCTATAAACGCTATAAACCCTATAAACCCTAAACCCTAAACCCCAAACCCTAATCCCTAAACCCTAAACCCTAAAACCCTGATCCCGAAAACTAGGTTTTGCAGACCTGCGGCGAGCTGGAGCAGACAAAAAGCCAGCAGAAGCGCAACTCTGCACGCTGCGGGGTTTAGGGTTTAGGGCTTTAGGGGTTTAGGGCTTAGAGCTTAGGGGTTTAGGGGTTTAGGGATTAAGGGTTTAGGGCTTTAGGGTTTAGGGTTTTGGGTTTGGGGGTTTAGGGTTTAGGGGTTTAGGGCTTAGGGAAGGAAGCATCCCAGCTGAAACTCCCCGGAGGAGCTTCAAGGTACCCCAAAAAAAATCCTTAAACCAATAACCCCGAAGCCATAAACCCTACACCCTAAACTCCAAACCATAAACACAGCCATAAACCCTAAACCCTAAACTCCAAACCATAAACACGGCCATAAACCCTAAACCCCTAAACGGCGCAGGCGAGGAAGTTTTGGATCTTGCGGCTGGCCATGGCTAGCCAGGGCCTCCAGCCTGTCGGAGATCTCGTCGAGTTAAAATTAAAACAGCAGGGTTTAGGGTTCAGAGTTTAGGGTTTAGGGTTCAGAGCTTAGGGTTTAGGGTTCAGGATTTAGGGTTCAGAGTTTAGGGCTTAGGGTTCAGGATTTAGGGTTCAGAGTTTAGGGTTTAGGGTTCAGGATTTAGGGTTTCGGGCTTAGGGTTCAGGATTTAGGGTGTAGGGTTTAGGGTTTGGGGTTGAGGAGCCGGAATCAGCAGGCAGACGGATCCCGAGCTGATTCATTTAGAAACAGATTTCCGGTGCTCTTTACGGAAGTAGTTGGATCCCGGCTGTGATAGAATTCTTGCAAAGGAAGGAAGGGGCGTTCTGAATCAGCGGCCTGCCATCATCCCGTGAAACTCTTGGAAAGCCAACCGGCCAGAGTTTCTGCGAAGGAGTCTTCCCAGCCGGCATCGGCAAAGCAATGTGCTTGGCCTTTGGCCACGATGCAACTTGCTGTGGGGAATAACTTCAGGAAGACGGGATTCATCGTAGCTGGCGGATAGATGCAATCATGCTCCGCTGACAAGACTAGTACTGGCTTTTTCCCGATCTTGGCAAATGAGTGTGCTGAGTCGAAATAGTGCGAGATTGTGGGAAAGCCGTCCGCCGTGGCCTCCAGCACAGTCCTCGTGCACATGACCCCCCCCTACGCTAAATCCGAAAGGACGTGGGAAGCGAGGCAGGACGGCCGCGACCGACTTCCTCTGAAACCTCTCCTAAACCCTAAACCCTAAACCCAGTCCTCTTAATCCCGTTCGAGAGCCCCGGTCCCCAAAAACCCAAACGCCAGACCCTTGAAGAACCCGAAAACCCGACACAAAACGATCCTTTTTCTGTAGGCTTGTTGTTTTTGTTTTTCATGTCCTGTTTACGTCGGGGGGGGGGTGGGGTGGGGAGTCCCTTTTAGGGTTTTTTTATATGGAGTTTAGGAAAGACGGGTCTTTTTTAGGGTTTTCTTTTATGGGGTTTAGGAAAGACGGTCCTCTGAACATACTCCTCCATTCCGCCGTCGGTGACCGTCGTGCTGCAAGCTGGCTCGGCGTTTTTTGAAAGGAAGAAGATCCGCCTTGCAGTCTTCCGTAGGGTTTAGGGCCCTAAAACCCTAAACCCTGAACCCTAATGGTCCCTAAAACCCCTAAACCCTAAACCATTGCAGTGTTCTGCGCTGTTGGGGTTTAGGGCTTTTGAGTTTAATGTAGTCTTCCGTAGGGTTTGGGGTTTTTGAGTTCTATGAAGCGGTTGGGGTTCATAGTATACTTTAAAACACCATCAAAAAGTTATAGTTCATGTTCTGTGCTGTTGGGGTTTAGGGCTTTTGAGTTATATAAAAGCGGTTGGGGTTCATAGTATACTTGTAAACAATAGTGCATGATAACATGTTATAGTTTGTTATACTAAGCCAGAGTCATCATGTACTATGATGTGCTGTACTGTATTGCACAATAGGATTTAGGGGCGCAGGCGTTTTTGATGCAAGCCTTGCGGTAAATTCGCTTTTTTGGGGCCTCCGGGCTTTTGAGACTGGAAAGGCTTCGGGACTAGAGCTTCTTGGGCTCAGGGTTTAGGATTTAGGGGTGAGGGTTTAGGGTTTAGGGTTTAGGGTTCAGGGTCTAGGGTTTGCAGGGTTCAGGGTTTAGGGTTGAGGGCAGGGTTTAGGGTTTAGCGTTCAGGGGTGAGAGTTTAAGGTTTAGGGGATGAGGGGTTAACAGTTGAGAGAGCCCCTCAAACCTTAAATCTTCAAGCTTCAAGTTTTATGGCTTTTTGTCGGCTTTGGCTTCTGGGCGGAGCTGGGGCTGGGCTGGGCTGGGCTGGCTGGCGGGCTTGGGCTGGGCTATCGAAGGTGGAGTTGGATTTGATGAACGCTGAAACGGAAATTGGCTTACAGGAATTGGAAAGGTTGTGTCCCGAGCCGAGATAGGCTTCCGGATGCCTGATCACTCGATTTTACCAGTTTGAAACCCGCCCTGCCCCTTTTGTATGAACCCTTCCCTAACCAGGGTTGCGCCGACTGCGCTGCGGCGGGCTGAACTGAATGATTGGATTGGCCAACAGCAACAAGCATTTTCTGCTTATTTCTTCCTCGAGGGTTTAGGGCTTAGGGTTTAGGCCCTGAACCCTAAACCCTAAACCCTAAACCCCTAAACCCCTAAACCCCTAAACCCTAAACCCCTAAACCCTAAACCCTCTAGCCTCATGCACCAGCTCGACCACAGGCGGCCCGTCAGCTGATAGTATGCTGAACCGACGAAGCCCAAGCCGTGGAAGATCGACTTGATGTCCATGTCCTTCACAATTCGCCTCGGCTTTAGGGTTAAGGGTTGAGAGACTATAGGGTTACTATTAGGGTTCATGGGTTTGGGGTTTAGGGGTTTAAGGTTGGGGACCTCCCTACGGTTACCTAAGCTCACGTAGCAAGAGAAGCGAGTTTCCTGTCAAGCTGTGATGCATGGCCACTGGCATCATCTTGATCAACTCCCAGAGGGAGGATGCCGGAACACTGCCAACAAAGACTGCCCCAGCAAAACGCTCTGCCAGACCAGCATCTCTCACGAGATATTGAGACAAGATCCTGGGCTCTGCTGAGAAGCTTAAGGTGAAAAACCATAATCTGACTAAACCCTGAAGCCTAAACTCCTACACGCTAAACCGTCAAACCTCAACCCTCAACAACCCTAAAGCCTAAAGCCCTACCCCCCCCCCTCGCCAAACCCTCAACCCTAAAGCCTAAAGCCCTAAACGCCCTCAACCCTAAACCCTCAACCCTAAACTACGGTTGATGATAAAAAAACCTGCATTACCCATACTAAGCAATACACCATAGTTCCCGTAGCTTAAGATCCTTAAGGTAATGTAGGATTATACTACCAACCCTAAACCCTAAACCCTAGACGCTAAACCCTAAACCCTGAACCTAAACCCTAAACCCTAAACCCCTAAACCCCTAAACCCTAAACCCTCAACCCTAAACCCTGAACCCTAAACCCTAAACCCTAAACCACCTCCGGCCGAGGATCCCCCCCTGGCTGTGTCCGATGACCACCAAGTGGCACTCGCCATGCAACTTGCCTAGCTGAAGATTTACAGGGCGGGGTTTAGGTTTACGGCTTTAGGGTTTTAGGGTTTTAGGGTTAGGGCTTAGGGTTTGGGGTTTTGGGGTTTTGGGGTTTAGGGTTTTGGGTTTTGGGGTTTTGGATATGGGGTTTAGGATTTGGGGTTTAGGGTTTCGGGTTTGGGTTTGGGGTTTATAGAAATTGTATAGGGTTTGGGTCCGGGGTTTTGACCGAAAGTTTTGAGCGCGTTTTGTCTTTTGCTTTTCAATATTGGTTTTGGCCGGGCTGGGGCTTGGGCTGCCTGGCCTGGCCGGGTTTGGGTCCGGGGTTTTGACCGAAACTGTGGACCGAAAGTTTCGTTGTTTGCTTTTCATGTCTGGTTTTGGCAGGGCTGGGGCTTGGGCTGCCTGGCCTCGTCGGCTGGCGGCGGGCTGGTACTGGGCCGGGGATAGAAATTGTTTAGGGTTAAGGCCCGGGGCTTGGACCGAAAGTTTTGACAGGGTTTTTTGGGAGATTGACATTGCATTCGTTCATTCATTCTGTTTCCATCAGTAGCAAACTGCATTTCGCTGCGCTGTCATGATATACAATTTCTATTTATCCTGTCTTGAGGATTTAGGGTTTAGGATTTGGAGTTTAGGATGTAGGATTTGGGGTTTAGGGTTTAGGATATGGGGTTTAGGAATTAGGGTTTGGGGTTTAGGGTGTAGTATTCAGCAGCTGTGGATTGAGCAGTCACTAGTCAAGCTGCCGGCTTTGGATTTAGAAAACAACCCACCCGCCCAAAGACTCCCATGGCATGAAGCAAAAAACAAGTCATCTCCTCAAAGCCCCGCAAACCTTAAACCCTAAACCCTAAATCTCAAACCCCAAACCCTAAACCCTAAACCCTAAACCCTAACCCTAACTCCAAGTAACCCAAAAAGCCCGACAACTCTAAGCCTGAAGCCCTAAAGCCCTAAAGCCGAAAGCCTAAGGCCGGAAGCCGAAGCCCGAAACCCTGAGCCGAGTTCTAAACCATGGTCCGTGAACATCCAGGGTTTAGGCTTCAGGGGTTTAGGGTTTAGGGTTCAGAAGTTTAGGGTTTAGGGTTCAGAAGTTTAGGGTTCAGGGTTCAGGAAAATCCTCAGCCCACCCTCGAACCAGCATCTGAAGCGAAGAGAGCCTTGCGCAAGGAGAAAACATAACCAAAGCCCGAACCCCGAGCCCGAAGCCCCAGTTTAGACCGAAACTCCATACGCCAAATTTAGGCCGAAACCCCATACACGAAATTTGGGCCGAAACCCTATACGCGAAATTTACGCCGAAACCCTATCCGAGCAATTTAGGCCGAAACCCTATACGCGAAATTTAATCCGAAAACCCTATATGCGAAGTTTAGGCCGAAACCCCTCTTCGCGAAACTTAGGATTTGCAGACAAACCTCTAAGCAGTCACCATAGGCAGAAAAATCGCAAAGCAGTCACCATTTGCAGAAAAACCGCTAAAAGTCAAGGAAAAAGGATTGATTTTGCAATAAAACACCGAACCAATTAGGGTTTTAATATGTATGTGTATGTATATATATATACACACACATATGTATATATATATATATACATACAGGGGCTCAGAACATCGGCACGAGCGCCGAATTGCTAGGCCCCCAGTGCACAAGGCTGCACGACATAGGCAGTGCTCCGGGACCATAGGGAAACATCCCCCATCTCCAAACTGGCATCGGCGCCTTAGGAGGACTCGCTCCAAGGTCCGCCTCCAGCTTCGCCTCGGCCTGCCAGTTAGTCGCCGAAAGCGGCTTGTGGTGGACACCCACCACTCGGCACCACGACACCCCAACATGGGCAGAGGAGGCCGAGCACAACAGGAACGAGCCCAGGCAGAATGGGCAAAAGGCTGGGCAGATCCACAGTCGGTGCGATATTGGCGTGGCTCCTGGGGGCGCAAGGATTCGGCACAGGAGACCCCCTTTCCTCGCTACGACTCTACAGCGTGGCCGACAACCGAGCAGAGTGCCAAAGGCAAGGGAAAGCCACAAGGCTCCTGGGACAGGGAGCCCAGTCCTGGGGGGCAGTTGGTACCCGACATGCAGGAGCTCTTGAATCATACCAGGAGAGCGGAACAGCGAGTCCGCCAGCTAGCCAAGCAGAAGGAGGCCAAAGCTGCGCAGTGGAAGGCCTACGTGGCGAAGATCAAGAAGGCTTATCTCGAGGAGAGCCAACGTCACAACAGGGACCTCCAGCGTGTGACCGACGACCTCTCCAAAGCTATTGTAGCCCAGGACGAGGCCAGAGAGAGGATTCGGGTGATGGCCTATTACCTGTCCGAAGGCATCCCTCCTCCAGTGACTGGACATCGGGAGGACACATCCTGGGACGAGATGATGGAGCAGATGCAGATGGAGCGAGACCAGGACGGACCGAGAGCTGTTCTGGAAAGGGCCATGGCTGCTGGAAGAGAAAAGAAGACAGGACCTGTCCCAATGCAGACAGAACCCGAAGTTGGCAGAATGGCGCCACCACCCACCGCAGCGCCTACAGATGTGCCGCACTTTGGCACAGCCTGTCCTTCGACGCCTCCCCAGCGCATGGCTGGACCGGAGGCCTCCACTCCACCAGAAGTGGACAAGCCAGCCTATACGAAGATCCCAACCAGGACGACGAGGACCTCCGAGCCATATCTTGCCTCCCCTGGGAACACTGCAGCTGGTACGTGTGCGACCCATGCCGGAGTCGGCAACTCCCCAGATCACATGAGGCATCCGGAGCAGCGACAGGCAGATGCTCCAATTGGTCCTCCTTCAGATGGAGGCCTTGCGAGCAAATTGGCTGCCAAGCGAGCGGGGACAGCATTGAAACCATTTGGCACCAAGGCTCCCAAAGAGGCGGGCATGGAGGCAGTACATCAGTCCAACGAGGCTCAGCACGTGCCGGTGCACCACATTCCAGATGGAGATGGAGCAGAAGATGGTCCGGATTTCCTTCGCGAGCCTTCCCCAGGTCTAGGCAAGCTGGAGTAGCACTCACAGCTTGGGATGGTTCAGATCGATGTTGGCCGTGTCATTGGGCTCTGAGGGCTGCTGCTTTGGGGTCTCCCGATGGTGAGGATGGTTTGCTTCTCTACAGTGGGGTAGAGAATGCAAGCCACTCTACTCCCGGAGGCGACCCTTAGACCAGCTGCTATCAGACTCCCAAGGTGACTTCCCCTATTGAGGCCAATGGGTGTATAAAGGAGGACTCAGCCTTTGTACAGCAAGCGGTTGCCCCTTTTCCTGTACAGGTTGATGCAACTCCTGAGTATGCATTAATGCCAGGGCCTTTTCCCTTGCTCCTCTGTCGGTTTCCTCCTCCACCTTCTCTTCGTCGCTATCCTTGCCTCCAGCACCTTCATTGGGCTCTTGATGGTGGTTGGAGACAGGATGTGTCTTCCTCGCGAGAGCAATGCCCTCATTTGGCTTGTGGGGTGTCTTGCTTTCCCGTGCCTTTTTACAGCATGGACTTCAATGGCCCATCACATCCGGCCTTGATTTCATTCTTTGCACCCAGACCTTTCAAGCTCGCTATACTCCAGGCGCCAAACATCTGTATCGGTGGCTCAGGGACAGAGGCTGAGTATAGCTTGAGCAGTCAGTGCACAGTTTTGCTGATTAGTTTTGCGGCCTTTTTGCTGCTCACCCTTGGGGCCCTTTTGACCCGGCCTCTAAGGGGAGCTTTCTGCAGATGTTTCCGCCGCTCCTCTGATGGTAAGGCAGGTTTTGTATTCCTCACTGCCTTGCAACTGGCCTCGCCTGCGCAGCCCATTCTTTCGTGGCATACCTCTCGTCCGTGCCCAAAGCACAGGCGAAGGTGCCCAATCCCGCGCACAGGAGGGGTCAAGTCGGCCTTCTGGAGGGTGCTAGTTTTGTTCTTGGACTTTCCCGTGCCCGAACCAGTGTCAGGTCTTCACATTGCCTCTGCCTGGGTGTTCTTCCCGGTCGGGGCTTCTGCGATGACCCGGGCTCCTGCACCAGGAGATCCGCCAGGCATACCGTACAGCACTCGTCAGCCATATTTCACTCCACCCGAGGAGCTCACTACCCATGTTGGTGCTTGTTCTGATGTTGCGCTTGGGGAACTTCAGGAAGATGTTGAGGATGGTTGCCTGCGGCACATGCCAGTTGCCACCGACAATGAACCCTGGGTCCCTGAGGTAAACTTGGGCGAGTGCGGTTCGGACTGGCTCGGGGTGTATGTCTACACGCCACACTATGCGAATCAACAGGTCGCTGTGAAACTGACCGAGCCAACGATGCAGGCAGTAGCCAAAGTTCTGCATCTACATGCACCATCGACTGCTGGACCTATTTTCGACACCATTATCCCTACGAGGCCTCAAAGGTTTGAAGGCTTTTTGTCAGTGCTTCGATTTTCCAGCTCGATTAGGTGCCCAGGTGTAGGCGGACAGGTAGCGATCCTTTTCGACCTTACGCGGGTCGGAGGGAACTTCTTCGCCTGCATCCTCCCTCGTGAGATTCATCTCAGTGCTCTGCTTGAGTATGTGCGACCGCTTACCTCATGCAGGGATGAGACTTTAGAGGTTTTCGTAGGCTGCAGATCCAGACCATGGCCCTCTTGCGCAGTCGTAGACTTGCGTGATGGGGACACGGTGACAGTGCTCCGACAGCCTGTCGAAACCTTTGCACGAAGACAGGCTGAGGCTTTGTTCTATGAGGGAGCCTTTTGGGATCATCCGCACAACATGTCCCGGCTGACGTACCAGGAATCTATTTGTGTGCTGTTCCGGAATCGCAGGTTTTCACTACCGATCCAGCACCGCACAGATCAGAACCTTGTGGCCTACGTGTCCAGCTGCTTGCAGGTCGATCCAAGCTGCACCTTGATGTGTAGCTTTCCCATCAAGGACCTAGACGTGCAAGGCGAACTAAGTACTTTTGTCGTTGCTGTAGCTGAAGTACCCTCGCCAGCTACGACAGGAATCGACCGTAGCCACACTAGGGACTTGTTCGTCTTAATTGACCCTCGGCCTCTAGGAGTGAAACCACACTTTCTACTCCTACACCACCCGTCAGTGCACTTACCTACAGTCATAGCCCTCCTCGGACTCTCGACACCGGCGGCCATGCGTGTTGGAGTGCATGGAGGCGAACGCAAAGGGGATGACATTCATGTTCGGGAGAATGCTACCTTAAGACTTTTCGCTGAAGAACGTCCTGACACAACGACCTCAGAGGACACTTCTGAGTCGAGTTCTTCAGGGCAGGCTGAGGTTCATTTCTCGCCTGATGTCTCTCATGCATATAGACAGGAGCACGGGCAGGCTCTTGATGGTTGTTTGGAGGTTGAGTGTGATCTTGCAGTTGGCTATGCCAATTGGGGAGAGCAGCCAGATCCACCTCCCCTTTCCACCTCTCTCCTCGACTCCACACTGCCCGCTGGGCACAGTTGGAACATTGGAGCAGAAGACTGCGAGCGTCCTGACCCGGAAGCTGAGGCAGAGCCTCCTGTTCTGGAAGATCAGGAAATGGAAGAAGAGGGACCGGCAGCAGCCCCCTCTCTCCTACTCAATGCCTTAGTGTACATTCCAGACTATGTGCCTGAGGTTTTAGAGGTTCGGGTTGACTTGCCGATAGGGATCAGGGACTTCGTTGACGTTGTGCAGCAACTCAGGTTCGCCGACCAGGTCACAGGCTTCCCCGACCTTTGCCCAGATACACCTCAGCCTCTCCGCGAAATGGCAGTTTTTGTCGCGGCCCCTACCTGGTTGACTGACCTCGTAGTTGTGCTAATGGATTGCAGGCTCACGCAGTCCGGGTTCTTTGCTAGGACGATCCCAAGTCGCCTTAATCGCGAATCCATCCTGGTTGCAGCAGGTTTTAGACATGATGATGCGATTAGTGTGCACATTGAGGGTCGAATACGTCCGCTCGGAATAGATGAACGCGTTGCATTGACCCATGGGCACACCATACACTTCGTGCCAAGGTACGGTGATGTGCCCAGGTGCTTTGAGCTTGCAGACATGCTGCTGTCACCACAAGGATGGGACCCTGAGGCACCCATGCCGGGGGTTCAATCTCATCTCAATAGCCACTTCCTCATCCTGTCAGATGCGGGCCCTTTCACCCTGGCGATCACGCCAAGGAGCTTTGTTGATTTCAAGGGTGCTCTGGCCGAGGCAGTAGGTGTGGCAGAACATCGGCTTTACACTAAGGTGTCTGTGCCTCAGATCAAGGACTCCTATCGTTTCGGGTTTTGGGCTTCAGGGGTGATTGTTGCTACAGATAGCTTGTCGAGCATCCCATGCCCTCCTGCTGTAAGACCCGAGACCCGTCGGATCCTGACGCTTGATCAGCGCCGCATCCTAAGGGGATTTGCGTGGCAAGCAGTTGAAGGTTGTTTCGTAGATGTGCAGCTCCTGGCCGATGCATACTATGGACTGTGCCCCCTGAGCCATGTAGTTACCTTCAAGGGTGCTGCTGTAGAGTACCGTGAAGGGCAGCGGGTTTTCTCCATCGTCAATGGCCAAGTTATTACGGTTGAGTTCACGAGGGAGCAAGATACGCCATCATCGGATGGAGACCAGCCGCCCAACCTGAGTCCTCCACCCGATGCTTCGGATCTGACAGGCGACAATGAGTCCGGCACTGAACTTGGGAGTAGTGCCGATAGAGGGCCACCGGAGGCCGCGCCGGGTCAACCTCTCCCCCATCTCGGTGCTCGCAGTCGCTCGCCCCGACAACGTGCCAGCCCACAGGGGCTTCCTCTTGTAGAAAGACAGGCCGAGAGACACGTTAAGAGCATTACCGCTGACCGTTTGCCAGCACACTTGCCGAAACCCTGTCTCGGAAGCCTCGGTGTGCAGATAGACAATCTTGGATTTGCCAAGCTTGCTGGCGTTCACGTGAATAAGTGGAGCCTCGCCATGATGGAACACGCCCATGCTGTGGGCAGGCCAGGCCTCACCCCTATTCCCTGGACCCATTTGCACTCCGATCATCAGACAAGAGCATCCTGTTTGCAGGAGTGCTGCTCTGCACTCTTGACTGCTGCCAGCACCTCCTTTGGGTCACCTTTTGGGTTCTTGGGTTGTAAACTCTTGGGGGAGCCCGCCTCTGGAGGCCCTGGAGGCTCGGGAGGCCTAGATAGAGCACGAGAGGCTACTAGGCTTCTAGGTGCACTTTGGCCATTCCCACCCTACAGATGGCCCATTCTCATCCAAGAGGATGAGACAGACCCCATGCAAACCGACACAGAAGAGAGGTTCATGACAGACATTTCTGTCTATCTTCTGACACCTGATTACAAGACAGAGCACCTCCCCCTAACCGTGCAGCTCCCGCAAACTGTGCAAGAGCTCGAGGAGCTTGTTCAGACATGTCGTGAGGCAGATCGCCGCGCTCTTTTCCCGACCCTCATTGAAGTTAGCCCACAGCCTGATCCTGGCTGGGGGATCTTTCTGGCCGTTCCTGCATGGATCAACCAGAGAGTTGTCGTCTGTTGCGACCTTTCCTTCTTCGATGGTCGGATCATCGCTGTCTGCGTTTCGCCTCTCACCGACTCTTTCAGCCTCTGTGCCAGTGTGGGACTTGCACCACCTTGCAGATGTCGACATTTTCCTTCCCGGTGCTGCAGATCCCCTGCCTCCAGGCGGTGAAGTTTTCTTGCAGAGTGGAACATGCATAGCATTTGTGCGATCCGGTGCGCGTAGACACGCCACATTCGACCTGCAATTTATGCTGAGATCGCACTTAGGTTGGGAGCACAGCCCAGTGTTTCCACATGCCACTTTGGACAGCGATGGCTACTGTGTAGCCAGCTCCACTGGTCAGTTTCTCTTCCGTTTGCTGGCGAGCAGAGCCATGTACTACCGCTCTGACATTGCACTCCTTGTTGGATTGCATCCTACACGGGTAGTTGTTACACCAGCTGCGCCTCAGCCAGGAGATGTGTGTGTGTGTGCGGCTGGGAGTGTCGTGCTCTTGTTGCAGCGACTGACCGAGCCACCCGGGATGTGTGGGACGGTTCTCAGGAGACACCTTTGGTCGGCTTCCTGGATTGCAGGCCTCTACTCATAGGATGGCTGACCGTCTCCTCATGGGACCCGTGGCTCCCTCTTGATCCTATCAAACGGGATCTAGACCAAAGTGCCCCGGTAGGCTGGCATACTGTCTTCCCGCAGCTCCCACCACATTGGACCTGGACGTGCTGGAGTGCAGGACAGATTTTAGTAGTCGCCTTTGCACCTGATGTCCCCTCATGGGGCAGGCAGCTCACAAGTGGCCGGCGATTCGTTCACACCAGCCCCCTCTGAAGGCACAGGTCCTGAGGCTGTGAAGCAGACAGGCCTTTGTCAGGTTATTCCAGTCTCAGGTGTCACTGGAGTAGCTGTAGAAACTTGCCATCGTGTTTTTCTCGCATTGGCTTTCGCCACCTTTGTTCTTCCAGCATTGCTTCAGTGTGACGTTGGCCTGAGCATGCTAGCTTGTGGGTCCTTCCTGGTACATCGACACCGATTCCCTGCAGTGCTGCTCTACGCCCTTGCTTGCAGTATTGCTACTGCAAGCGATGCCGTCCTGGCGGTCCAGATTGGCGCAAATTACGATGCACCCACTGGGGTTACGCATGCCCGGGATATAGGTGGAGGTCTAGTAGTTTGTGCGACCCACCCAGCTGGTGAACTGGACATTAGGCATCATCTTAGGACCATTGCCACGCCATGCAAGGCTTCAGTACCATGGCCACTTGCTGCAGCCTCTCATCATACTGTGGATGAGTCTTTCCCAGGCTCCGTTACGGACTCCCTTGTTACTCTTCTGGAAGAGAGTGCTTGGGGTGCAGACTCGAGAGCTTTCTTTGAAGCCAGCACTTTGCTTGAGGTCCTTTTAGAGCACTTCGTAGGCCCTGTGGTTGTAGGAGAAGGAGAAGACCAACCGCCCCCTACAGGGTCCTCCACTTTGCTCCTATCCGAGCATTTCCCTGGTCCTCCGTGCCATGATGTCTCTTCTGTGGCATTACGATTGGACACGTGCCTGGACCAGACGGTTTCATGGTTTCAACAGGGCAGGTGGGACCTCCAGGCTTCCCTACCAGCAGGCCTTGTCATGCCAGCATGTGTGAAGGACATCCCTGCCATCAGGAGCCCATCCCACTGGCCGTCTGGGGCCTTTGATGCCATACAGGCTTTCACAGACGGGTCCTTTGATGGCTCCAAATGTTCCTGGGCCTTTTGCGCTTTTGGGTACCAAGGCGATGTATCCTGTTTCCTAGGATGGGCGGCAGGCCAGGTACCTGACCACAGCAGCCACCCTCTATGTGTTTCGCCGGCTCGTGCCTCAGCCATCTGTGGCGAGCAACATGCCCTTTTTTGGGCAGCGGTATGGTGCATGCAGTCGCCTGCACATGCTGTTCTTGAGCTTTTTTCCGATTGCATTGTTGCACTGAATCACGTGACAGGCTCCTTCGGATGGAGTGAAGGCGAGACCATGGCTCCAATTTGCAGGGCAGCCATGCAAGCTTTGCTTGCTGGCCGGCCAACGGTCAAGAGTCAGGTTAAACATGTGAGGTCCCATGAAGGCACACCCGCCAATGAGCTGGCTGACTCTTTAGCCAAGTTCGCCAATAAGTCTCCCAGTCTGTCAGTGCCCGACCACTGTCGATGGGCAGCACAACAGGTCCGCGCAGGTGTACTTCCATGGCTGTGGCTGCAAGTCGAGGCTACGCTCCGGCCAGAGCACTGGCCGGCACAGGTAGGCTCCTCCCTTGTTGATCGAGACAGACATACAGATAGCACACCCTTTACTCGGGAAGACTGCCATCAAGCCCTCGGTCTAAAGGCACCGGAACATGCAGAGGCGACCCATCGAGAGGTGTGGGGAAGATTGCATTGCATCACTGTCAATGTTCAATCACTCGCCGAGACCCAGGAGGCCCCGTCTCCCGAAGATCAGTCTGGCTTTACAGGGAGGGCCAGATACCTGAGGGAGCAACTGCAGGCGATGGGTGTGCAGGTGGCGGCCTTGCAGGAGGCGAGATCTTCGGTTGATACGACATATGTCTCCGATTCTCATGTCCGATTCTGTACCGCCAGAGACTCCAAGGGCAATTTTGGCTGCGAGCTCTGGTTTTCTAGGAAGATACCCTTTGTGTCTAAGGCAGGCACACAGGCCTTTTTTCATCCGAATGACTTCCTCACAGTAGCCAGTGGGCCCCGAGAACTCCTAGTCCGGTTCTCGCGTGCTGGGACTCAGATCCTCTTCGTGTGCATTCATGCGCCGGTTGGGGGCAGCCCAGAACGGGAGAGATGGTGGAAAGAGCTCAGACATCGGATTCGTCGTTTCAGCCGCAATGCTCTGGTATTTCTTGTTGGAGATTTCAACACAGGTTTCCACTACACGATACCCTCGCGTGTTGGGGATCTTGTCTGGAGCTCAGCATACGGTGCCCCTGCCGGCCTAGAGGGCATCCTCGCTGATCAGGACCTCTGGGTCCCAAGTACTTTTTCTCAATGCCACACAGGCAGCCATGATACCTGGCTTTCACCCAGTGGCACTACTGGGGCTAGACTTGACTACTTTGCTGTGGAAACATCCTGGCTCGTCCCAGATGCCAATTCTTGGGTTGACACTTCCCTTGACTGGGGACAGTCCAGGGTCGATCACTTTGGCCTTGGGCTCGTAGCCTTTTTTCCCTTTAGGCTGGGCACATGCCGAGAGCCTCAGACGGTCAAGTTCGACAGGGAGGCCCTACACACCGAGGAGGGGCGGCGTATTTTGGCCTGCATTTGTGAGCAGATACCCCTCCAACCCTGGACGAGCAATGTACACAGGCACTATGCTCAGATCGAGGCACACCTAGGCCAGGCTCTCAGTGTCGCATTCCCTTCCAAGCGAGGGGTCTGTCGATCCTCACACTTTTCAGCTGTAACTTGGGACTTGCGCCAGCGACGTTCTTGGCTTCGCAAACAAATTGCGAAGGCCGGCACCACCTTTCGTTCATTTGATCTGAGGGCGGCCTTTTTGGGCCTCAAATCCGGGATTCGGCTCCGTGCAGGAAGGGTACTTGCTGTCCTGAGGGGGCTTGCTGGCTTCCGTAGCTTGCAGGGGCTTGTCCAAGAGATGCGGGCGACGAAAGGTGCTCTACGGCACCATATCCGGCAGGATATCAGCAATAGGGTTCGGGAGACTGCTGCGCTTGCAGCCACCTCCTCCAAGTCAGATGTTGTTTCCAGGCTGCGACCCCTACTAGGCCCACCCAAACGTAAGGTCCGCCAACGAAGGGCCCTACATGGCATCTGCCATCCGAATGGTGAGCCAACTCAGACCCCTGAGGAGGCAGAGGACGTATGGATACGACACTTTGCTGGCATTGAGGATGGGGAAAAGATTGACCCCCTACAGCTTGTTGAGGCTTGCCACCTTTTTCAGTCGGAAAAGGACCTTGATGCCTATGAGCTCACGACTGGTAGCCTGCCCACACGGACGGAACTCGAGCAGTCCCTCCGCAGCACACAGACTAATCGAGCGATTGGCCTCGACAAGGTGCCAGGCGAACTCCTACACTTCGCAGCTGGGCAGGTTTCTGCTGCCCTTTTCCAGTTATTCCTCAAAGTGTCCATGAGGGCAGCCGAACCTATTCAATTCAAAGGCGGAGCTCTCTTCGCCATCTGGAAAGGGAAAAGCTCGGCTACACAGTGTTCTGCGCATAGGGGTATACTGGTTAGTTCGACGCCAGGAAAGTCCTTTCATAGAGTAGCCAGACAACAGGCGATCCCCGCACTGCAGAACATCGCTTCAGAGATGCAGATTGGAGGATTGCCCCACTTCCCTGTCACCATGGCATCCCACTTCGTCCGTGCCTTTCAGGAAGGTTGTGCACAGCGCAAAGGCAGCTACGGCCTCCTCTTCCTTGATTTGCGCGAAGCATTTTACCGAGTCGTGCGCCCCCTGCTCACGGGCGCCTCCTTTTGCGATGAGGCTGTCGCGCAGGTCGTGCGGAGTGTGAGGCTTCCGCCTGGCATTATGCACGAGCTTCATGAGCACCTGCACGGCACTCCCCTGCCGGAGGATGCCGGGGCAACAGACTGGGCATCAGCACAGGTCTGTGAAGCCATGCAGAGCACGTGGTTTAGGTTCCAGGGCAGTGCCACAGTTGTCAAAACAGGCACAGGTTCAAGGCCAGGTGATAACCTGGCAGACGTTTGTTTTTCGTTCATTTTCGCAAGAGTCTTGAAGGACATTCGTCGAGAGGTCAGGCAGACGGGGCATCTGCCAACAGTGCCTTGGTCCGCGGAGATGGTACGCAGCCTCCAAGAGGTCGATACAGGCCTTCGAACCAAGGAGGCCCTTGACGCGACTTGGATGGATGACGCCACTTTCCTGGTGGTGGCGGATACCGCTGCCGACCTGCCTGGGGCTATGGCCATCACAGGCAAGGCCGTATTGGATGCCTGTGTGTCACGCGCGCTCCTCCCCAATTTAGACAGGGGCAAAACTGAACTCATTGCGCATGTAGTTGGTGCTGGGTCACGCGGTGTGCGCAAAGATCTGTTTTCCCTGCCGGATGCTTCATTGGCGATTCCGTGCAAGCTGTGGGATGGAGCACACATCCGCCTTGTTCCCACTTACCAACACCTTGGTGGTTTTATCCACCATGACGCGTCGTTAGTACGTGAATTGAGGCATCGTGTCGGGGCAGCTTGGAAGGCTTTTAATGCTCGGAAAAAGAGGGTTTTTAGCTCGCCCACTGTCTCGCTGCAGGACAAAGCCATTTTATACGAGTCTTTGATCCTTTCCATTCTCCTTCATGGGGCCGGGTCATGGCGAACCCTCAGCTCAGCTGAGCTCTCCATCTTGGAACAGGCCCACTTCGGAATGGCTTTCTTTATGGTGCGGCCTCTACACACACATGAGGAGGCCCTGCACTTGGGCGGCCGACATGTACTTTCCATCCTGCGACTTCCCACTGTTGATACGCTGCTGCATGTAGCCAGGCTCCGGCATTTGCTTTCATGTATCCGGGCTCCAGTACCTGTTTTCTGGGCCATGCTTCATTGGCAAGGTGGTTGGCTGCAGGCGTGCCGGCGATCCCTTGAGTGGATGTGGGAACATGTAGACCGTGGAGAGTCTGCCTCCTCATGGCAAGAATCTTGGCACACATGGCAAGAGCTTTGTCTGCAACAACCTCGCAGGTGGAAGAGCCTTGTTCGGAAGGCACAGGCACAGGCTGTTGCACAAGAGTCATGCCAAGTCGCGATGCGCCGACACTCGGGTCTGGTATGCCGGCAGCTCCGGTGTGCTGGCGCGACTCTACCGGGCATCGTGGCTAGTGACCGACACCATGTGCATTTTTGCGCACCTTGCTCGCAGCTTTTCCAGAAATACCAGGCCTGGAGTGTTCACGCCTTTAAGGTCCATGGACACGTGACTGAGGGCAGGAAAATCCATGGTGGCACTCAGTGCCAGTCTTGCCTCCGTCATTTTTCGACTCATGTCAAGTTGTGTCGGCACCTCAATCACAGTCGTGCTTGCCGCCTTCATCTGCATGAGGCAGGCCTCAGCTGCCAGGCAGAACCAGGCCAAGGTAGCCGCAAGGCGCCAGATGAAGGCAAATTTCAGGCCCCATCTTTGCAGGCACAGGGACCTAGGTTGTCCCATGGAGCAGGAGCATGGTATGAGTACCTCGACCGACCATCGGCAGAGGTCATGGACTGCCTTGCGGTCCTTGACTCAGGGCTCTCGCAGGAACAAGCGAATCGGGATGAAGCCTGGGAAAGAGCTCGCCTAGCCTTTGGATGTGTATGCCTACCTGTCAGGAAGGTTTTAGCCACTGCCTCCTCCTGGAAGCAAGCGATCTTGTCAGGGTCCATGCAAAACACCTTTGCTCCTAGTCTTTTGTGTGAAATCGCGGACTGGATACAGGAGGCTGATCTTGCAGCCTGGCTTGTTCCTTCTCCTGTATCGAAGCCGCCAGCTTACACGACTTTTAGGGATGCCTCCCTCATCCTTGATTTCCTGGACACGACAGCGATTCCCGTTCCAACAACTTCTCCGGTGCATGGCAGCACACTTGTTTGTGTAGGCACGGGATCCTGGACTTCCTCATTGGGTTCTTTAGGTCCCAACTCCCTCTCCTTCACACATGAGGAGTGCCTGAGGTCCCTGCAAGAGGGAACCGTTCCGTCCTTCTTTGAAGGACCTTTCCATGACACCGTCTTTCTGATTTCGGTCCTTGGACTGCCGTCTTGGCAGGATCTCCCGACTGCTCCTGTCCGTCCAAAGGTCTTACTGCAGAAGTTGTCAAGAGTCATTTTGGCTTGTGACCTCCTCAGGTTGGCCCTTCGACTCTGGCTCTCTGGAGTACCGACGGCCTTCTTCTTCCCCAGTCATGATCGTATAGTTCCCCAGCCAGTCCGCTCGTTGCATCTCCTAGACTCTGTCTGGTCGAGAGGCGCCTGCTGTCTGCGCTCAGGAGGAGCCGACTGGGAGCAATTGCCCGTTTCACCTTTCTAATTAAAATTGTAACAAAGGGCTGCAACCGAACATGGATTCAACGCCCAGAAAGAGCGAAA